CAGGGTCTTGGAGGGGGGAGGGGGCGGTGGAGCCGAGGGCAGGGATGGGTTATGGGATGGGACAGGCTTAGGGGCAGGGACCGGAGGGGGAAGGGGGTTGCGGGATGAAGGAGGAGACACGTGGCTGCCACCATATCGCCCCCCTGCCTCTCCCTGAACCGCATGTCCAGTGCTATCTGGGACCCCAATCCTGACCTGTCCAGATACGGCCACGTGTTCGTGGCCCGGAGGGGAAGGGAACAAGGAAGGAGAGCTGATAATTTTCGAAAAATTGTCAGAACTGGGATACTGGGGAGGATTTGGGGGTTCAGAACAGTTACAGCCGTGCTGGGCATGCTGCATTTCCAAGGGAGACCTTAGGGTACTTTCCAGGTTATGGTTATAGGGATTTTTGGAAAGGGAAGGTGAGTTTGAATTCTTTTGCTGCTGCTGTCTGTTGTTTTCTGTCTGAATTAAAACTTTCCGAATTTGTAAGAATATCGGGAGGAATACAGAGGCAGTTTTATCTCCATTTTCTACTTTTAAAGTTAATAAATCCCCTATTTCATCCCAAAATGAAATGGAATTTATATTTTGCAATTCAAGGTCAGATATTTCAACAGACAGCCAGCTGGCAAAACGGGCTAGTTTTTTATTAGATATTAAAACATTTCCTGAACTTAATATTTCCTTGAGTTGTTTTGTTATACTCTTTTGTAAGGCAGATTGCTGTATGCCCATGGTATTAGCAATTTGCACTATATCTACCCCACTACAGTTAAAACACAGGAAAGGAGTTAGTTGTTAAGACGTGCTAAGTACACTACGGTTTTCAGGCTTTACTAGATGCGGAACCGATGTTAATTTCGCCGTTTTTCGTCAGCAAAACCTATGTTGCGCCCGCGCCGCTGTAGGGATCGCCCCCGCCGCAAAAATCCGTAAAAACCGCAAAAACTGCAAAAAAACTCCCTGTGCCGCAGCTTTGAAACTGACCAAAGCTGCCTGCCTGCCGCGCCACGCCTGGGGTGGCCGCGTCCAGCCCCCCCCCCAGCCCCCGCGCCGCACCACGTGGCCGAGGGCTTCCGAGCCGCGCGCATGCTGCAAACACGCCCGTGCCGCCTCTGCTCCCGAGAACAGCGCCGGGCCAGCAAAATGCCACTGGTGAGACCCCCCCGCGGAGCTCCGGGAACCACCCTCCACAAAGGGACGCTTCACTCACCTTTTGTCCTGCAGGCAAAGACGTCTGTGTAACGGTAGTGGATCCACGTCCCTAACCAACCTGTCTGGGCAACTGACAGGCTGCCAGTTCGTGCTGAAAAGTCTTCGAACTGCACAAAATGCAGCTTACAGAAATTTAAGCTAGTTGATCAGCTCCTATGCTGGTCGAATCCCGAAAATAGGAGTCACAGCGAAACGTGGGTGCTTTGTAGAAACCACGCACGTGGAGCGCCAACTGTCGGCTTTTTCTCGGCCCCAAAATAGGGTCTTTCACCCTTCCTCCGGTCTAGCTCAGGTGTTAGGGTGAAATTCCCCTGGGCCCTAGCCACAGGGACGTAGTTAAGATATCAAAAGAGGCTCTTTCCCCTAATAAAGTTACAGGTTTATTTCTCGTGGGTAGTGAGTGAAAAGGGGAAGGGAAAAGAGCGGGGGAAGAGGGAAAAGTGCGGGGTAAGAGAGCAGGGGAAGAGAGCAGGGTAAGAGAGAAAGAGAGGGAAAAGCAGGGTAAGAGCATGGGGGAAAAGAGAACGGGGGAAGAGCTGGGTAAGAGAGCGGGGGAAAAAAGGAGCGGAGGCAAGAGAACGAGGCCAGCGGGTACTGACCTTTTCTAGGGTCTGGAAAGGGGGGGCGGGGAGAAATTGGATCCCAGCCAGCTCTGTGTGGCCAGGAGGGGAGAGGGACCAAGATACAGGGCACAGCAGGGGTCACGGGATGTACCATTTACAATGTATCTGGGAAACGCAACAAAAAGTGTTTTGCCTGTTAAATAAATAGTTTTTTACCCACTTCTCTCTGAAGAAATGTTTTTCCCGGAGCCAATTAAGAGAAATACTACTTAAATCTGTTTCCCAGAAAAAACTCATTCAAAAGTTTCCTCCCAAATTTGCCTTAAACCAGAACAGTAGATGTGGCACTTGGGAATATAGGTTAGTGGTGGGCTTGGCAGTGCTGGATCAGTGGTTGGACTCAACAATTTTAAAGGTCTTTTCTGACCTAAATGATTCTAAGATTCTAAGCATGTGGCTTCAGTCAGGTAATAGTGTGTGGCTTTGATTGATATGCCAGTAAAAAAGTGGATTCCTTTGAAACTAGAACCTTTCTGGATCGTTTGCTAAAAGGATCTTTTTATTATTTAAACTATTTATTTTGTTTATGAGAAACCCCAATACCTCTGGGTGACAATCTCAAACTACAAGAACTCTGTGGTCCATCTATCTCTTTGCAGCTGAATTCACTGCAGATGAACACAAACCAGAAAGGCAGATAACCAGGAAGGCTTTACGGGACTTGTGCCCCTGCCTCCCACTACAGAGAGAAAGGGCCAAGTTGTGCCCCCATTCTCACAGGCAGGGTGCATGTGAAAGCCCACAGAGCCTGCATGGGCCCTGGAGCAGATACACCCTCTTCCATCACTACAGCAGCACATCCACAGAAATCAGCCAGGCTGCCCTGTGACAGAGCAAGGAAAGTGAAGCTAAAAAGCAACCAACTGCTAAGGCCATCTCCATCTGAGTGAAGCTAATTTAACAAGGAGCAATGGGGAATTGGCTGGGTTCCAATTCGGCTAATTTGGGTAGTGGTGTGAGTCATGGAAGCAGTGAGAAAGAGGCTGGCAAGTTGGAGTCATTTGGGGACCTATCAGAAGTTAACACCAACGTTGCAATTGAGCATTTGCTTGAATATCTGTGTGTCTCACGAGTTATCTGTCTTTCCCACAGGGATTTGGGCTACCCAGTAAACCCAGCCCTTCCTCTAAGAATACAGCACACCTCTTACCATGCCTCTGGCAATATGTACTTACTTGATCTTGCAGTGTCTTTCTATTGAGCAATGCCTCTTCAGTATTGTTTCCACAATGGGTTTTCACTGAGAACTGTTCATCCAATCATCCTTTTATCAGTGAGAAAACTTCATGTGCTCTTGCACTGTCAAGTGTGGAACCCAACTTTCACACACTCTGTCACAGTGTGAGTGCAGGTCACTGCAAGCCATGGATCTAGCTCAGCATGCACAAATCCATGCCCAGATTCCCACCTTTCTGTTTCCTATACTGCCATGCATCTCATCTCCTGTCAGAGCTCCAGCCTGGCATGGTCTCCACTGAAAACTGCTGAAATTGCAGATGATAACTCTCCCATGGAACAACTATCAGCCCCAAAATCTGCACTTCTAGTCTGTCATCTGCTCATGTTGCCTGACCTGGAGTTCACAGATGTTCAGTGTAATGGTACACATTTAGCATAGTATAACGTTTGCTGGGGTCGTTGCTGGAGACAGACACAGCACAACCCTCTGTGATCCATGTGACAAAAAGCCTCTTTTGTTGTTCTGCATTCTCTTTAAAGAGAGGATCTGAATTTTCCGGGTATACACGTGATTGGTTGCGGTCCCAGTCACTCATTTCCTTGGCCAATGATCCATCTGCACTTAGGGTTCAACAGATTTCCTTGGATTGTCTGTATTTGTTCAAATCCATCCTATCATCACTCATTCAGGGACCTGCCTACTTACAGGCTGGTTAAGTTTCAGGCTGCAGCTTTTAGACCAGCTGCAATATGCAATGTGACAGTATAGATATATAGTTATCTTCATTTTTTTTTCACAGTTATAGAATAACTAGAAAATAATCAAAATATGCTATATTACAGGTAAAAGCCAACAGTTATTAATATAAACAGGTATCATATGCCTTTCAAGACTAAGCTGACCTTAATTTTTTTTTCTAAATCTGAAAAATTACTTCATTTTTTCAGGATCTGTGTGAAAACCAATGTGAAGTAGTCCTTTCTATTTATGTTCCTTGATTTAGCCTATACTATTACATATTAATGTAGGTTGCTACTTAGCCAGGGCCAAGATTTAAGGTGTTATTTTGCTCTCCTCAGAATGCTAATTCTTCCCTGAGTGCTCTTGCTGAGTACTGCACAAATCAGATGGTTAATCACACCTCAGTTAATGGGTCTCAGAACTCCTAAGGATATACCCACTTTTTTGTTGTTGTCATTCCTGTCTCTTTTTTTATGGTTTAATGTAACATAGCAGAGTTGGAATGTGAGTTACTGCAGGGATAAACTAGGCAATTCACTGTTGGACATGCAGCTGGAGGTAGAACTATTGAAAACCAACATAATTAACCAGTGGTAATCCCTGACATAAGATCTGTGACCGATAGCCAGTGCAGGATTTCAGAGGAGGAAGTAGTATTTCTCTGACTAATGGCCACAACATTGGTCTGGGCTCTGAAAACATTTGAAGCCCTGTAAGCTTTATGCTACAAAAGAAGTATCTGCTTCCAAGTTCTGGAGTGGAAGGGGCCAAAAGGTGAATCTGTCTTTCTGATGAGCTGTGCTGGCAGGGACAGGCCATGGGGCAGAGGAGGTCTCCAGGCACCACTGGTGGCCAGCAGCTCTCTGACCCTAGCACCATATTTTGTAGTCAGAACATCAGTGACATCAGTATTTTCCTGCTACCCTTAGACAGATAAATAAAACTGCACCTTGCATTCTTTTGCTTTGGTTTTTTTTTTTTGTCATCTCTTAGCTCAATTTTTTGGTTGCTGTACAGTGAAATTTTCTACTTTCAGTTATCTTAAAATTTAATTATTTGAATCAGGGAAATGTTTATATTTCTCTATTAAATAATCAGCTTTCTTTGAACTGTGAGGCAATGCATGAATGTCCTGTGGGAAACAGCAAGAGAGGATACATCAGATGAATGCAAAGGGGTGTAGTTTTGGGAATTTTTTTGGGGGGGGATTTGCCCAATGTCCTTATCTAGGAGATAAGGCCACTGGAGGGACCATAACACCAGTGTCATGTGAGATTGACGGACCTTAATCTCACTATCCCTGGAAGTGTTCAAAAAACATTAGGATTTGGGACTTTAGGACATGGTTTAGTCATGAACATGGTGGTGGTGCTCGGTTGATGGTTGGACTTGATGAATTTAATGATATTTTCCAACTTTAATGTATCTATGATTCTGTAACTAGAAATGAGATTCACTTGCTCTTCTTGCAGTACCTGCTGTAAATGTCTTTGTTTTATTATGGGCTCCAGTTAACTGCTTTGGTTTTACCAATTGCATTGTTGGTGATGAGTGAAACAAATGTGTGATTATCATGTTCAAATAAACTGCCAGCAATTTAGCCCTGATTAAAAAATGCCTATGTTACAAAACCAGGCTATCACTGAGGCAGTATCTCCTTTAGCTCTCAAAATCAGAACCAGAAAGTATCCAAACATAACTGCCCACAGTGAGCACCTTACCAATACAGTAAGGATGAGCATCACCCTCTTGCCCTACACCCAGGCATTTAAGAAGTTACTGAACTGCAAATAAAATCCATAATGGCTTTTAAAATGTTGCTCCAATTAGTGCTCAATTATATGCCCTCCGCTGGGAGATCAGATTTCATGTTTATTTAATTCCTTTGAATGCAAGTCTTTGAATGGGCTGGCAGTCTGAGGTTAGTGGGAATTTTGATTTGAGAAAGGGAAAGAGCTGGAAGTACAAGCAGGCACCAGGGGTCCCTGGAAAGGGGTGTCCCTCTATGGCCACCAATCCCCTGGAGGGACTTGGTCTCCTAACTTGGTGAAGCCCTGGCCAGGTCTGTCAGGTAAGTGGTTCAGCCCTGGCTGCCACATCCAGGCACCATAGGAAGGGCTGGGGAGAGGGCAAACTTCCTCTTGCCTTTGCATCCATGAGCTGCCTTTTCTGAGAGCTATGCAGAGCATAGTCGGCCATGTCCCCTTCCTGAGGGCGTGGAAAGAGGGTCCTCATGCTTTGCACTTATCCACTTGCTATTCTCACACCTCTGTGATCTTCAGCCAGACTCTTCCCCTCCTGGCACAGCTGCGGCTGCTGTGATTCACATTAAAAGACATCAGCTCATCTCTTGGGGTGTCAGCAGAGCAGTGCATGACTGGGGGACATTCCTTTTGAAGAATGCTCTTGGATTCAACAGAAGTGAAGGAGCTGAAATGCTGTATTAAGCTTCTTGTGTCTACCCATCAATTCACATTAGATGTAGTCAAGTTATTGACTTATAACTTTAATTCCCCTCTTACAAAAGAATGAAGCTGGAATTGAAAGAGGAAAAGAAATCTGCGTTTTCATGAGTCAGTGCCTGTGATTTTTCAGTGTGCAGATGAAAATTGAGAGGAATGTAGTGCAATAAACCAGGAGAGGAAACAGTCCAGTTAAGCTGTCATCAGGAAAACCTCAGGCAAAAGTTGTAAGCCTCTACAAATCTGCTGTTGCCTCTCCAATGAGAAGCAATGAAAAACAACCCATGAAAAGACACCAAGGTGATGGCACAGAATTAAAAACGTGTCTGAAAGACTGCACTAGCTGAGGAAAGAGACCTCATTTGTTCTTGCTGACAGTGTGTGGCTAGGACCCTGTTCTCGGCAGGGAGTCTGCCTGCTCTTTGCCTGGTCTGGGTCTGTTGGGATCTTCAGAGCTCTGAGATGATGAAGTTTCCATGGAAGCCTGTAACTGAATCCTCATTGCTCTTCTTTCTAGAATGTGGGTGGGAAGTTTTAGTAGCTGTGACACCATCAGGGGTATTAAGCTTTGGGAAATTATCACCCTGTAGCATTTGCAAACTCCACCTGAGATACCCATTCACTTCAATAGATTACTCCTTTAAAAACCCTTTAACCTGTGTTCCTGTTCTATGTTACACCTCTATTGATATATCTAAAATGTCTGCAGAATAACTGCTATCATTGTTCCACATACTGGTTATAGAACTTTATATTTGTTTAATATAAAACTAAAAAAGGTTCCAAGAAACCTAAATGGAGATGTGTCTCCTAGCAAACTGAGGCTTGACTAAGATTTATTCAAATTGTATGAAGAAATGAAGTCAAGAAAGTAATCAAAAGCATATTTAGTGGAGTCTCAGATGATTAACCAACATGTTCACAGAGCCAAACCTCTGTATCTGTCTTTTTTACTAGTTCATAAATTTCTCTTGGCATGAACTAATTTACAAAGATATAGCTGATCTTGACATTTGAGAAAAGTGAATTCTGATAACTCCTTTATTTATATCAGGAAAAACTTATTTGTCAGGAAGTAGTTTGAAACAGGGATTCAAATATTGTTGCTTTCTTCCACCCCTGAACTGGAACTACAGAATAAAAGCATTGCTGTCCTCTTACAGCACATACTGTACCAAAAAAATTAAATTGCTGTGAATTAAAGAAACATTTAATGCAAGGGATTCAGATGGATTTATTTTATTTACTTGCAATGACTTGTTAATCCAGAATTACTTCATTATGAAACAGTGAGACACAGCACTGAGTAAGGAACTCAGAAAGTGCATGAGTAACTACTGTACACTTACAAGCAGGCCCAGCACTTCTCACCTGTATTAATAAAAATGTTGATTCTACCCTGCGTTTGTAACTTACTGAAGTGGTATTATATTTGTTCTTTTCCTTGGCTGAATGACACTGCTGTTACAACTAGATCCACTACTTGAGCTTTCTTTTCCCCCACAGTGGTGTAAAAAGAAATTATAAACTTGAATTAAACCAATTTTACCCAGCCTTGCTCACCCCATTCTTTACATACATCATCTGCAAACACTCAGCAGATGAGGCTTCATGAAATGAATCCAAGCAAAAATTGTGCTTGAATCTATCCCATATTCAATTGTGCCCTAGATTAAATCCCACTTCACAGAAAACAGGATATTGGGTAGCCTTGAGCAATGCTTAGTAACATTCTTCAAACCTAGGAATTAATGCAGGATAACCCCCCTACCAACAAAAGTGAGTTTTAAAGTGTTTTGCAAAATTAGGACCTAAATCCTACAGCTGTTCAGTTTCTGCTCACATCAGTTCACGGACCTATTTGATCATTATTCTTTAAATAATCTTGAATTAGTTATATTACTTTGATAATATAAAATTATCTTCTATTAGTTTCTCATAAATATAAATTGCATTAAAAAGCCAACCACTTCATTTCACATAGGCTTCCCCTGCAATAGCATTACACTTCCCTATCTCATAATTTACAAAAAGTCCAGACACTTATGAGCAAGAAAATTAATAATTAAGGACATAATAAATCATACATGCCAACTTAATAAAAATATTAAAAACTAGAAAGCACATTTCATCTCAGTGTAAGAACCCAATTAAAATTTCAAGGGCAGTCTATGGTTGGAGGTGGCATTATTTCTACTTCAATGTCTGAGTTACCCATGGCTGGGCAGCTGCATAGCCCCATCCCTCCTGGAGACTTTTTTCCCCCTTGCCTCAAGGGGATGTAGAGAAAATGTAGGTGATGTGCAGGTAGTGAGAGCAAAGAGTGGGGCATGATGCCTTTCCTGATGACAGCATCTCCCTCAAGGCCCCGTGGCAGTGTCCTCAGCTGCCATAGCCCTGAGCTGGTTGTAGGCGAGTCTTGGAGTAGATTTGAGCACACAGGGCCAGCCAAGGATGGAGCAAAGCAGGCTGGTTTAGGGCACAGGACTCGTTTCCCCTTTCAGAGAGACACAGCAGCTCTCCCAAGCAGTGACTGATAAAAGGCCGCCTGGCAAGCATACAAAGAGCCTTGGGCATTGTGAATAGAAGTGTCTCGGTTTTGAGACAAATTAGGAGGAAACTTCCCAAAAGGCTGCCTCCTCTAAAGAAAGGTGGGTTTCAGCAGCCCTTTCCTCACAGTTTTGAAAGGAATTTCTTGGAGGAAAGTGAAAAAAACCCTGTTTATTTAACAGAGTGCACACAGGCGCGGGAAAAAGAAAAAGAAAGATAATAAACCTTCTCGTTGTGGAGAAAACTGTTGGATTTTTAGAGTCATGCTTGGCTTCTCCCGAGGTCCAGAGCCAGGATAGAATGCGGCGTCCCTGCAGCTTTCCTCTGCTGGGCCATGGTATGGGGCTCCCGGTGATGTTCTAGTTTTCTGGAACAAAGCTGAACAGCTCCAGAAGAAGAAGCCACAGTCCTGGGAGAAACTTTTTACCTCAGAGCAAGAAGCTACCTAAAAGCAAAGATGTACTCCCTCTGTCCGTTCTAGACAACACAGCTCAGAGAGAACCAGGGGAGCCTGCCTGAACTGAACACAAATTTCGCTCCGAGGTATTCCCCCGGGTCCCTCCTATTTGAGCTTAAAGTTTCAGGACCCATGTCTGGGCATAAAGCAGAGGATAAGGGATACAGTATCATAAAGTCACTCCAAGACAAGAAGGAATATTGCATTAGAAAGGCTACCAGAAACTGTTTTGAATGTACTGCAGTCCCTCATAAAGCTCATTACTATTTTTGGATAAAAAATATGTTTCACACTCTTAGAAGAAAAAACAGTGGCTAAAGAAGCTCCATTTTTTATTTGAGCTATTCCTAGAAGTGCAAAATATATAAACTTACCCAGACAAAGCTTTAAGAAATATCATTGACTAACACTTTTTGGGTTTAGCTGAGTTTAATTAAGTCAGATGACTGATTCTCTGAGAGCAGCGAAGCAGGAACACACAGAAGACCCCTCTGAGACACTCTATGAGTTACATGATTGCAACAACACACTCACCCCACAGGCAAACGGAAACACCACTTCATACTGTGACACCAACTCTGCTAGCTGCAAAGGTCCCTCCCACTTACCTGGAAGAGATTTGCACTTTAACAAGGTGCTCGGGACAGAAAGGCTCTCTCAGGCCAATTTTGAATCCCTGACTGGGATTTATCCTTACTGGTGAGCACTCATGGACACTGTCAGAGGCAACTGCAATAAATATGGGTAAAAATAAGCAGGCCTTTTTTTCTCTCTGAGCCAAAAACATAGCTCCTGTTGGTCCCTATGGGATCTGGTGGACACAGCCAATATCTCTGCCAGTCTAATGTTCAGCAAGACAGAAGAGAACAGAGGCTGTAGGAAATCTCTGCAGGCTCCAAAAGTTAGATGCATGCAACAGACTTCTTTTCACTACCATAATAAATTACAGACTACATTCTCTTTGCACTGATGAAGAGGATTTAAAAAAAAATATTATTTTTGGACATTTTTATTTTGCTGTAAAAAATCACTCCAAGACGGGCATAGTAAGGATGATCTGCTAGGCAATTTCTGCCTTTCACAGGACTGCTTGGGACAGGTTTGAACAAGAGTTCCCAGTTTAGCATGATCAAACATTCAGATCAAATTTAAAGATTAATTGTTTTGATATCACACTTAAGCCTTTTGAAGAAAGCTTGCTATAAAAAGATTGACTGATGTGATCACACCTAGGCAGCACCACTGTGTTCCCACTTAGCAGTACATGTACAGTTCCAGTAGACACAAGAAGGGATAGAAAATTTCATTTATGGGATAAACTTTGCTTTGCTTACCGTGAAAACCCTCCTGGCCTCCAACCCAAGCCCCCTTTGGAAAGGAACCTGGGTCATACATATGTGCCAGGGTCTATTCCCCATTTCAGAAACATTATTTTGGAAAACTCAACCAAAAAAGCCCAAAGAAAGCCAGATGGGACACCCGCCTGATTGTACAGGACAGCCATCCTCAACAGAATCTCCTCTTACACATTCATCTCTCATAAGCCCTTTGCATAAGCAGATATAAAATGAGAAAGATAGTCAAGTGTGGCTTTGACAGTGCAAGAGCTTATTAGAAATCATGGGAAGGTTACAAAGAAAACCACCTCATTTAAAAGTAAGGACAAGTCCTTTGGGGAGCCTGGCGCTGCTCCTAATTCATCAGCACATTTCCTATTCCTAAAACAAAGCTACACCAGCACTCCTCAATGAGACACAGTGAGCAGCAATGGCAAAGGTCTGCTGGATTCATTGCCTGAAGGTGGGGAATGAATACCCCATCCTGAGGCTGGCACTGGATAGGCGATTAGATGAATGAATCTCTGAGTAAACTGAGGCCTGACCTAGAAAACACCTGCTCCAGGAACTACAACAGCAGCAAATAGGTAACAGGATGGATGGGAAGATCACCAAGCCCTGTCCTCACCATATGTGGTTGGAGAAGCACCGAATCCAACCCCTCACACAGGTGCTGCAGCCCTAGCAGCAGAAATAGAAGCATAAATAGCATCATGGCAGGCTGGAGAAAAAGTGCATAAACTGTTTGATAGTTTGCCACAGACAAGCTATCACCAGCTTGGATTACTAACATGATCTCCAGAACATTTTTGAAATGAGTCAAAGTAACCTTACATCTGGGCAGGGTGAGAAAGAGAAATCTTCCTCAGTACCCAAGGCCAAGCCTGCCTATGCCTGGCTGCTGATCCCTACCTCCTACTATCTTTCCATGCCTGGGATGCCTATACTGCTGATGGCAATCCTCAGACTTTCTAAAATGAGAACCAGCCAAGCATATTTCCACTGCCTGGCCACCAGTGAGGGCTCATTCTTTAGCCTTCACGGTGCCAAAATCCAACAATCCTGCCAAGCAATTTGTCACTGCCCAGAAATTCCAAAGCACTTTAATTAAATTGTGCAAAAAAATTGCCTTGGAATTCCCTTGTTGTATTCCTGAACAGGATCAGTTTTAAAAGGCTGCTAATTTATCTCCTGTTGGGAAGGACGAGAATTTAACTGAGGAGTTTTGCAGATATACAGAAGGTTCTATAGGAATGAAAACAAGTTTTGATATAGAAGAAAAGAATTGCTGAGCCAGTCTTACTGGGTAACTAGAAGAAAAAGAGCAAGTGAGTTGGAAGGTGCTTTTGTGGCTTAGAGCAAAGGATAAATCCACCTCAAACAAAAGATGTTTTTACCAAACAAAAGGATTTTCACAGGCAAACAAGAAAGCCAATGTTGCAAGTAGAGAAAAGATCTCAGAAATTTCCTCTGCAGAACAAGTCCCAAAGTCTAACATGTAACTACTAACTCCAATGGTTGGCTAGTCACTAACATAATATGGTAATTTTAGCAGTTTTGATAGGTTATATGTAAATGTAAACGGTATTGTGTATGATGTTGATTGGTAGTCATGCGTTAAGATGCTCTGTAATGAAGAGTATGTAATGCTTTGTAACCAGAACCAGAAGGGCTTCAGGACACACAGTTTGCCTATAGCCAGCAGCTATAGGCTCACCCACGACCCTCAACTGCTGTAACCTCATCTATGCAATAAATAGCCTTTAAGAGCTGGCTGAAGCCTCTGTCTTTCTGTCAGGCTCTTGCAATCTCCTCTTTTGCCTGCAGTTTTGCTAGCCTGAGCTGGACACCTTCATTCCATATCTGCTCCCAGCCAAGGTCACGCAGCCCAACGATTTAGCAGGGCTCTTGATTACTGCTGCTGTAACACCTCAACCATTTAATCAACTGCTTTTCAATAACTTTTATCTTTTCCTTCTAAGCCTACACTGGGTTTTATTATGTCTTTCTAGTCTCATAAGCTGCCACAGACTAAGTACCTTCCACTCTGAATCAGGCTGTAGATCACACAGCAGAGCTACCCGCAGTTATCAGATAATGCACTTGATCAGCTGAATGCTGCTCTAACATATGCTTTCTGACAGATTAGCCACCATAAATTTTAATCACTCAGAATTACAATCAGGTGAAGTTGGCCTTGAGCTCTGGCTGTGCCACATTTCAGGAAGGCCTTTTGGAAACACGGGAATTATAGCCTTTATTTAAACTCAAAGATGCAATTTCCCAGGCAGGAAGGGGAGGGGCAGAGAGAGGATTTGCTTTATAAAATGCAGATAGAAAGCATGTGATGCAAGCAAGCTCAGCACAATGTCCTGTGGTGCCAAGTGGTACACACCGTCAAAGGGATTGAGAGATTAGTCCCACCCAGCCAGAAGATTCAGGCCTGTTCTAAAACCAGTTCATAGCTTTTAATCAAATGAAGAAGCCCCATTTCATTCAGTCCTTGCCTCAACCATTGAAGTAATTTAACACATTGGGTTTTTCAAAAAAACTAATCATACATTCCAATTAAAGGGTACTCAGGATTGTTCCAGGGACTTCTGTTGGGTGCTGCTCAGGTGAGCTATCTCTGTCAACACCAGAATAACATTGATCCTTGAAGCCCCAGAACCCAGTCGGGTCTCTGCCCAGGTACCAGGACCTGACCTTTCCATAGAAGTGCTGCCAACAGGATCCTGAGAAGATCCATAGGTGTAGGGTATGCAAATATTTCCAGCCCTTGTGCAGCTTTCAGAAGCAGCATTACTCACCCTCTGGTTAAATTATAATATTGTTTTACCTCACAATACTGTTTGAGAGCTGACAGGAACCTTTGACAGATGGCCACTTTGCATTTCTTCAGTGTCCTAAACATAAAATCGATCTGTTTGCTCTTGCTTCAGGCATAATCTCAGCAGTTTTAATCTCTGTTCCTCTCTTCAGCATTTACATAAACACACTTCCAAAAAACATCAGCGTTTAGTCTCAGGACATTATATTCAGTGCTTTCAACTCAGTAGGAAGAACTATAGCTTCAAGAATATAGAGACCAGTAAACCTCCAAGCAGCCTATATGACATTATTAACTGCTACATAAGCCTTACCTTGCTCTCAAGTTACATGAAAGCTTCTTAGAACCTGGTCCCCTTTATGAAGTGTGCTCTATCTTTTACTAACTGTGCCACAGCCAACTGGATTACTGGGCCTTTCCCAGCCCTCTGCCAGGGAAAACCTCCTGTCAAGGGAAAGCAAAGCAATGGGATGTTTGCTAGGACAGCAGGAGATGTCCAGGAACAGTCCTGGGACAAGTGGGTTCCCATCACTCTCCTGGGACACCTTGAACTCAGCCCCTCAGATTAAGAGGTTAATCTTTCAGACATCCTTTGAGCTGCAGAGAGGTAAGTTTCCAGACTAGAGAGAAACTGTAGGTGAGTCATTAGTCAAGTCCATAAAATGTGTGAATGCCCCAAATATTCTTCAACAACAAAGTGCAGAAGTAAGCCTATTTATGCAGAACAGTTGTGCATGATTTTTATCTCACTTCTCCTCGCATGTACTTAGCCCAAGGGAAAAGGTTCCCTATGTGGCAATCCAACCACAGTATTTCTTGGTTTAGGATGTATAACAGATTTCTAGTGCAGAAGGGGCTTAAAGAAGATTCAAGGAGTCA